ACTAAAGTTTTTTGTGAGCAACTTTAGTGAGAAAAATCGAAAAAACGAACTACAAACATATTAACGCCAAATTTATAGAATATTGTAAAAATTATGGTCTATTACCAACATATATATATATATATATATATATATATATATATATATATATATATATATATATATATATATATATACATGTAATTACATATTATATGTATATATATAAATATACCTTAAATTGATTAATGCCAACAATTCGGTAGAATTCATACAATAGTGTATAGAATATGGTCTCCTTCCAACACACACACACACACACACACACACACACACACACACACACACACACACACACACACTCTCTCACACACACACATTATATATATTAGAGACATTTTAAAGATTAATTAATTTGGCATTTTTGATTATCATATATTTACACACATTTATATTAATTGATTAATATGTAAGCATAGATATAGAAACTCATACAAAAAAAACTTTATTCATGTTTCTATATCTATGTTTGTTAGGATTTTTTTCTTTTTTTCTTTTTTACTTTGTTTTGCCATGTTTTCGTCATTTTGAGTTTGGGTTTTGAAGTTTGATTTTTTTTTCCTTTTTTTATTACTCTTTTCTTTGTAAATAAAAATTTTACCTAAATTATATATATATATAAATTATATATATATAATTCCTAAATTATATATATATATATATATTTATTATAAAGTTGAGGTTTAAGGAAATAAAATATGTTATTGTATGTTTGTTGCGTTTTTCGTTAATGGAGAAAAAAGAAAGCGTAATGAATGAAGCGCATCATAATTTTCAGTCATAATTGACGTCACGAACAGACATTTGAAACAATATTTTCGTCGGAATTAAATCCCCGTTTCAATGTTTTAAAAGTTTGTCTGGCAGCTGTAATTAATTGATTGGATCTTTCAATGGCTCACATAATAAGTTTGGAGGCCAGATATATATACGATTCCAGGGGAATCCCAACAATCGAAGTTTTTTTTCATTTGGTTTTTCTAGAATTAGTTTAGATGCAATTAATTTTAAGACTTTATTCACTGTTTTAATCAAATGAGAATAATAATAATTAGAACATATTAAATAGCTTGAATATTAAATTGACCGGAGACATGCATATTCGTAATGAAAAATGTTATTAAATTTTAGTAAATAATAAGGTACATTAGTTAAAATTATGTAAAATCTTGGTAAATAATACATTACTTTGATTACAATCATGTAAAATCTTGGTAGATAATACAATACTTTGGTTAAAATCATGTAAAATCTTGTTAAATAATGCACTACCTTGGTTAAAATCATGTAAATTTAATTGTCTGGTATCTATTAATATTTATAAACTACTAATCAGGTGGAGTTAGGGACGAAGCTTGGCGTATTTTCTGCTTCTACGGGCGGGGGCTCTTCCATTGGTAAGCATGAGGTTAGATCATTGTATAAGGTGATTATAACAGTAACCTGAGTTGGTCACTCCAAAAAAATTTGTCGAAATTGTTATGAAATTTAACAAAAGTCAAACTAATCAAATGAAACGTTCTTGAAAATATGAGTGATGTTTAAATGTGTAACGTTTAATGTGCCTGACAACATTGCTACTTTGACCGGATTCCGACCGTAACGAAATGCACTGATGCATGGGGATGAATTAATTCACGGAAATTTACTCCGTGTGTCTGTTGTTGATACCTTTAAAAAAGTTGAATACTACTCTGTAAAATGCTACCGAGAGAATTGTAATTAAAAAAATAGTCAAGTGGCGACATTAATTTAAATTTGAATCGTTAGGTCTTGGATGTAAGGGACCGTGACACCTCCCTATGGCAAGGCAGGGGGCTGCTGAAGACCGTTTCAAACATCAACAACATCATCGCTCCGGCACTCATTGACAACGAAATCATCGACATCCGCAGGCAGGAACAGTGTGACCTGGCACTCCTCGAACTCGATGGATCGGAGAATAAAAATAAATTGGGGTCCAATGGTTAAGAAATTTAGAAGAAAATGTTCTCTATTCGCTTTAAATTTCTCAAAAAATTAAATTTACTAAATAAACAAGCTTCAATCGAGGTTTACTAAGATGACGTTTTTGATTTTTAGGTCTTTTGCCGGTTTCAATAGCGATATGTAAGGCGGGGGCTGGCAAGAAGAGAGTTCCTGTCTACAGGCATATTGGAGATTTACTTGGTTGTTTTAACAACTCTTTGATTTTTATAATTAATAATTCTTTTTTCTAGATTTTAAGGGTTACGAAGTTAAAGTCATAAATGACGAACCAGAAACAACACCTCATACACACACACACACACACACACACACATGCACACACACGCGCCACACACACGCACACACACAAACTTATTTATACACATACACAAACTAGGAAACGACGCATTCACATTGCCCGTACCCCTATTTACCGTCATCAGTGGAGGCAAGCATGCTGGCAACAACCTAGCCTACCAGGAGGTCATGATCATGCCAACGGGGGCTAGGTCATTTAGAGAGGCAATGAGAATGGGAGCTGAAACCTCTCAGCTTCTCTTCAATATCGCTAAGTCCAAATTAGGTTGAGATTTTGAAATTTTGAAATTTAACCTGTTGGCGGCGATGATAAAGATGTCGATTGTGATGATGTCCATAATGATGATGCTGGTGATGATGATGATGATCTCAACGATGATGATGAAGACGATGACTATGTGTAAATTTCAGTATTACATTACAGACAGTGTTACGTTTGAAATAAAATAAATAAAAATAAATAAAAAAAATGAAAAAATGAAAAAAAAACATTAAAATGTTGCACCACACTTCGTAATATTATTATCACCAGGGTTGGGGACTACCTTCGTGGGTGACAGTGGGGGCCTAGCGGTGGACGTAGATAAGGTAGAAGATGTGATTGATTTGGTTGGGGAGGCCATTAAACTGTCAGGCTACACTAAACAAGTCGACATCGCATTGGACGTTTCAGCGTCGTCATTTTACAGGTTTTAATCTGTTAAAATGTGTATGCGTCTCTGTGTGCGTCTCTCTCTCTCTCTCTCTCTCTCTCTCTCTCTCTCTCTCTCTCTCTCTCTCTCTCTGTGTGTGTGTGTGTGTCAATATACGTATGTGTGAATGTGTGTGTTTGCGTGTGTATGTGGTGCAATAATGATGTAAACGTCAGTACTACCTTTGTCAATACCGGGTTTGATTTCAAGGTGTCTCTCGCTTATCTGACATGTTGAAATGTATGTTATGTGTTGATTTGAACATATCTCTGTGTGTGTTTGTGTGTCGTTTTTGTTAATTCAAACAAGTTATAGTTTGTAACTTAATTTAATTAAGTTAACTTAATTAAGTTAATTAATTAATTATGCTTAAACGATAGAATGTTCTGAAAAAGATGCTGATGATTAGTAAAGTAAAAGTAATAATAAATAATTTGATTGTCATTATTAAATTAGGAAAGAATATGATAAGTACGACTTCAAATTCAAAAATCCCAAACCTGATCCAAAAATGTTCATGGACCGACAAATGCTTCTGAATAATTACATTGACATCATTGGCAGGTTGGCTGGTGGGTGGGTTGGTTGTTTGTTTGTTGGCTGGTTAATAAGCTGGTTGTCTGGCTCGCTGGTTGGCTGGCTGGTTGGCTGGTTGGTTGGCTGGTTGATTGGCTAGTTGGCTAGTTGTTGGCTGGTTAGCTGGTAACCTGGCTGGTTGGTTGTTTGATTTTTAATTTAAAATAATTTGTATACATAGCCAACCGTTAATTTTGAAAGGTACCAAATAGCCTCCATAACAGATCCATTCTATCAAGACCATTTAGATGATTGGACGAAATTGAAGAAGGTTTCTTTGCTACGTTGTCATTCAATCAGTTAAACCATCAAATTTTTTATTATTTAAATGACTTTTAATTAATTTTAAAAAGTTTTTTTTACCATTTCAACATTATATTTACATTTACGCAAATTTTTCCATGCGGGTGAAATGTAATTTGTCATTAACGCTGCATAAAAAGACGATTAAGCATGTCACCATGAATTCGACGTACACTGACTTGCTCACTCTTTGAGATTTTTCGTTATACTTTCTCTACTTCTTATCTGATGGACTTGTAATAAATTTCGCTACTCAGGCGTGTCCACGCATTCAACTGGTCGGCGACGACTTGACAGTTACGAATTATAAAAGAATCAAGAAGGTTGGACCGAACGGCGTTTGCAACTGCCTCTGTCTCAAGATGAACCAGATTGGAACGGTCACTGAAGCGATGCGAGCATTCGTCCAGGCCAAAACTTACGGCTGGTCGGTGATGATCTCCGACAGAGCCGGCGAAACTGACGACGTTTTTATAGCAGATTTGGCCCTCGGAACGGCTGCCGGGCAGCTAAAAGCTGGTGGTTTGTGTCGCTCAGAACACCTGGCCAAGTACAATTATCTTCTAAAAGTCGAAGAGACCAATGCCAGGAACACAACTTACACTGGCAACAATTACAGAGACTTCAACGAGTCGTTGTTGTTTGATGAGAATTTACGAATCAGCAGTGTTTTTCAATAAGAATTCAACACAACTCTCAGATATTATGTATCGAGTTAGGATTAATTAAGTTTTGTTTTTCAGTTGGAATGATCAAACTCGTTTTTTATGTAAAAATTCTTATTTTTTGTTTTGACGCTTCGAAATTTTATTAATGAAATTTATTTCTCGACTTTTTTAGCGTTGGAAGATATTTGTCACGAAGATGTACGTGTATGTTTGCTACAAAAAAAAACATTGTCATAAAAACGATCTTTGGATACTTGTTGTTCAATCACAATTAAATAAGTAAATTTATAGCGGTAAAATTTGAATTTTAAAAATCGAGTCATGCCGATAAAAGTTTTAAAAGCGAGGCAGATCTATGACTGCACTGGCACGCCGACCGTAGAAGTAATTTCAATTTTATTTCTTTCTCAAAAACCCGATCGACGGCTGTAGGATGCTGTAGGTCGGGAAGAGTTAAAAGTAGTATAATCGACTGAAATTTCAGAGATATAGGTTTAAATTTTGTCATCCTATTGCAATTTTTATCATTTTCCCATATTTTTATATAATTAATCTGTCATTTTAAGAACGATTTTTCCATTAACTACTCCTCGTCATTCCTTGTTACGTAATCAAACAAATGACTATTTGTTAGCGCTTTCTAACTCTATCAAATGTTGTAATTCGTCGTTGTTCAAAGACGCTAAAAGTACACTCAAATAATTTTAGTTTCTTCTCCATCGTTTATACATACACGTGGTGTACAATTTGAAAACACACAAAAATAAAATTTAATTTAGTTCCATATCCAAAATATCACGGTTATTTTATGTCCCTATTAAGCTCTAAATTAACCAAACCAGCAACCCGTAAATCTTATTTCTCATTTTAAATTCAAAAATTTTCCGATCCCGACATGCAAGGTTGAAGTGAGGAACGACAAAGACACGGCTGTAGCATCTGTGGCTGCAGGCGACAGCATCAGCAACCGTGAGGCCCTGGAAGTTCGAGATAACGAGATGAGGATGTGGGCTGGCAAGGTGGAGTTTCAATTTGTAGATTTTCATTTTTATATTTTTTTAACAATAATGTTTTTCGTAATTTTATCTTGTCTCTGTCATTTTCTGACAGTCTTGCAAATGTCTTTGTTTTGATAAAATTATTTTTCAGTTACAGTTTTTACGGATATTTTCCAGGGTGTGTTGAAAGCCGTTGAAAATGTCAACAACTACATCGCTCCACTCTTTGTTGGCAAGGAAATTGATGAAACCAATCAGGTAGTTTGTTAACTTAGATCACTCAATCATTCACTCAATCATTCACTCAATCATTCACTCATCAATTAAACATAGTTTTACATTGTTTTGCCATCTTCCCGATGTTCAACTGCCTCGCGCGATTTAAATTCTATATAATCAGTTGGCTGGTTGTATGGATGTTCAGTTGATTGATCGATTGGACAAGGATAAAATAATTGATTGATTGATTGATTGATTGACTGACTGACTGACTGACTGATGATTGATTGATTGACTGATGATTGATTGATTGATTGATTGATTGATTGACTGACTGACTGACTGACTGACTAATTGGTTGATTGATTGATTGATTGACTGACTGATGATTGATTGATTGATTGATTGATTGATTGACTGACTGACTGACTGACTGACTGACTGACTGACTGACTGACTGACTGACTGACTGACTGACTGACTGACTGATTGACTGACTGACTGACTGACTGACTGACTGACTGACTGACTGACTGACTGACTGACTGACTGACTGACTGATTGACTGACTGACTAATTGGTTGATTGATTGATTGATTGATTGACTGACTGATGATTGATTGATTGATTGATTGATTGACTGACTGACTGACTGACTGACTGACTGACTGACTGACTGACTGACTGACTGACTGACTGACTGACTGACTGATTGACTGACTGATTGATTGGTTGATTGATTGATTGATATTCAATCAATTCCCTCCAGACCATGATAGACAGGATGCTGATCGAACTGGACAGGACAGACGACAAATCCAGACTCGGAGCCAATGCCATTGCTGGCGTCTCCATGGCTATGGCGAGATTAGGAGCAATGAAAGATAATGTACCCCTA